TGTATAATCTTGATCGAATGATGGAAATTTATTGGGATGTTTCTGGGTTATGTTCATGTGGCAGATTTTTGGGGAAATGGCAGTTGAATTGTTGGAAATTGGAGTTAAAATGAGAAAAGGTGTGATCTTTACAATCAGAGGCTCTTTTAGATCAGTTTGCAATCACCCATTCCTAGTGGGTTTCCTTTGTTTCTTGTTATTACTGTACATATCATCCCCTTTCATCTTCTCATTGTTGGTATCTACTTCCCCTATCCTCATATGAACTGCTGTTTTACTTGGAGTCTCTTGAGTTATGGGGAGCCTAACATACCCGAAATCGAAATCGAGGAGAAAAAAACATCTCCCGTTGAGGAAAGCGAGGGTCGTTTAGTGGAGGGTGATTTGGAAGATGATGATGATGCCACGCCATTGATCGAAGAAAAATCGCGCGAATTGGACAAAATTTGGCATGAAAACGGAGATTTGAGTGGGAAAGTTAAGATCGAAGAAGTTCTCGAATCGAACGATGAGAAATCATCGGAGGCCGACTCGTTCGACTTGGAGAAGGTGAATGTCGACTCGCTCGACTCCCCTCCTCGATCTCCATGGACAAGAATCGAGGATCGTGAAAAAGAAGAAGACGTTGATATTATACATGAGCTCAAAGTGAAACAAGAAAAACAACAACAAGAAGATGATGGTGATGGTGATGATGATGAACAACAGGCCGAAAGTTCTGATTCGGGGTCAAACCGGGCCGAGAGCTCGTCCCCCGACACATCAATGGCCGACATACTTCCGATGCTCGACGAACGGCACCCGCTACTAGACGAGGACGCCCCCCGACCGGTGTATGGCTTGGCGTCCTCGGATAAGTCGAGCGTTCGAAGCCACGACTCGGATGATGAATACGAGACTCACGACGAGGCGCGAGAGGAGATCGAAGGAGGTTCACCAAAAGAACCTCATGGACCTCGGGACTTCTGAGCTCGAGCGTAATCAGCGGCTCGAGAATCTGATCCTTAGGAGACGGGCCCGGAAGAGCATCGAGAGGAACCTAATCGACTTAGAAGGCATCGATTACCCGTTTTGTCTCACTCCCATCTCGACCCGGAGGCAGAACAACCCGTTTGATCTTCCTAATGATAATTCTTGCAATGATTTAGGCTTGCCGCCAATTCCGGGCTCGGCTCCTTCAGTCTTGATCCAGAGGCATAACCCGTTCGACATTCCTTACGACCCGAATGAGGAGAAGCCGAACCTAATGGGGGACGGGTTCAAGGAGGAGTTTTCGGCTTTCCAGCCGAGGGAGGCTGTTTTCAGGAGGCACAAGAGCTTTAATAATGTGGGGCCTTTGGTTTTCGGATCCGGGAGGAGGGATGCGAGGATGAGGCCGTATTTTGTGCCCGAGGGCTCGATTTTGGAGGAGTCACCTTCCTCATCGTTCAGGCGGCAGTCGAGCGGACTTAGCGAGTCGAAGGTTAGTTTGGCTCCCGAGACTGAGTCGATTGTTTCGGTCGAGGATTTGGAAGACAAGAAGCTGTCGGTCGATCAAGAAATAGGGAAAGCTTTCCAGGGCACACCAGGAGACCAAGAGCCAATTTCCCATCAAGAAAAAGAAGATGAAGAAGAAAATCGAGAATTGGAACCAATATCCCAAACTGTGAATGTTTCGGAGCATGTGGGACATCAAGAAAAAGAAGATGAAGAAGAAGAAAATCTAGAATTGGAACCAATATCCGAGATTGTGAATGTTTCGGAGCATGTGGGACATGGGAGTCAATCTTCGGATGACGAAGAATCTTCAGAGTTAGACCAAGTCAGCAAGTCGAAAAGAGAGATCTTGAAGAAGATCAATTACAAGATTTTGCAGATCATTTTATAGCAGAAAGTGTAACTGTCCAAGCTACTCAGGATGATTCGAACTATGAAGGTGGTGAACACGTGTACAGAAGGGAATCGAGCTCATCTTCACTTTCGGAAGTGAGTGAAAGGGTTTTCACCGAAATAGAAAGTGGCAAAGGTTTTCCGGTGTTGGACGAAAGACGATATGGTGTTGCTCAAGAGCCCGGCAATTTGAATCAGACTTCTATGGAAAGTACTAATTCGGGTACTTTGCTTGCTGATGTCCCTCAATGGACATTGTCGATTCTAGAGAGAACAACAATGTGAGCACTGATTTTTCGGGATTTGGAAAGGAATCTGAAGTAGAAAGTTCCTCGGCTGATCCCGGTTTTATACCCGAGATTCCTGTTTCTTTGAAATCGAGTGTCGAAACTTTTGTGGAGGAAAATCAAGTTGAGGAACATGGTTTAAGGGAAGTCTCTGGTTCAAGAGCCGAAGAATATATTCATGACGTGGATGAATCTTCAAAATAACAATTTGAGGTTAGTGGGCGATTTTCTGAGGGTCTGATGAGTGACGAACATGCGATGATGGGCAATGAAGAAGATAGAGAGACTGTTCGATCACAAGAGTCTGATGCAGATGCTTATGAAAGAGCTGATGAGAAGGCAATTTCGATGCCTTCGGTTGATGGAAATTCTTATCCGTTTGATGATGCTAGAGAAATGCACATACCATATTCTGGGCATCTCGATGAAGTGCGGGTAAGTTAATATATAACATTTTTTTTTTTTTGGAAAACAAAAATAACCTCATTTGGTTTTGTTTCGTAACTAAGAACCCCGACAAGAAAATATGTTAACTTTCAAAGATTCCTAGGAAAAAGTATAGTAACTTTAAAAACCTCAACAAGAAAACACGTAAAGTTTCAAAGATTTCAAGCTCCCCATTTATTTCTTAATTGCATGGTTAACTTGAATGGCTTATTGGTCCTCTAATATCTAGATTTTAAGCTAGGTTCTCTTGGCGGGTAGTACATTGCAGGAAAGTGTCCTAATCGAGTCATCTGAGGAGGATGTTCAAGTTACACAGGATTTGAACATTCTTGAGACAGATTCTCATATAACAACTGAAGAAGTAGATGATATTAAAGACATTGACGAGGAATTGTTGTCCGAGTTGGATAATGTTGGGGACTTTAGTGTCAACCAATGGGGACTCGGCTCAAGCGAGATCGAAAAACGCATAGATTATTCCGTTGAAGAAATATTCGCGCAAGATATCAAAATTAACAACACGAGAGTTGCTGCTGACATTGACTTGGACTAAGAAAGCGATAAAATCGAAGATGAGGCTCGTTTGGAGAAATCGAAGGAGGTCATTGATATTCACGAACAGGAAGTGGAAGCTAAAACAGAAAATGCCGATCATTTTGCTTCTCTTGATCCGGAAGATAATTTATCTGGAGCACCTGAAATCGAATTGCGACCGGACTAAAAAAATGTTTCGATTTTGGTGAAAGATGAGGTGTCATTGGTTGAACTCGAGGCTACTAAATTCGAGGATATTGACCTAGCATTTAAAGAAATCATTACTTCAAAGGAACTCTATGAAGGTGAGACTGTAGTTCAAGAAACACTAGCCGATGAAAAAATCGAGTCTTTTTCCAACAAAGCCGAGTTTGCGTCTGTCGAAAATGAGATTACCACTTTTCAGATAGCTGAGCTTGAAGCTCATAAAATCAAGAATGACGATTTGGAAATTAAAGAAATAACTTCTTCGAAGGAACCACCACCCGAAGCCAATCCGGTGTCTCAAGAAACTCTACCCAATGAAAAAATCGAGCCCTTTTCAAATACAGCTGTGTTGGCATCCGTGGAAAATGAAATCACCTATCAAGATCAAGTTGATACAGAGACCAAGTCCGAAATGGTTGAGCTCGAAGTTAGTAAAATCGAAGATAGAAGAAGAGCCGGTAGTTCAAGAAACTCTGGCCGATGAAAAAATTTATTCTTTTCCTAGCAAAGTTGAGTTGGTTGAACTCGAAGCTAGTAAAATCGAAGATATTAATATGGCAATCAATGAAATCACTTCTAAGGAGTCACCCAAAGCTGAACAGGTACTTAAAGAAACTCTAGCCGAGCATCCCAAGAAAGATGCTCTAAATGAAAGTTCAAGTCAGACAGATTTCACTCACGATGCAATGGCTGTTGAAGTTAGACAAGTCGAGAAAGATGTTACTTTGGTTTCAAACCAATCACTTTCTGATCCGGTTGATTACGCTCAGGAAGCTTCTTCCGAAATGATTGTACTTTCAGAGGGTACTACTTCTTTGCCTCTGGCTGATGAAGTGCAAGGTAAATTGCTCGAACATGATGAGTTAATTGGAGTCGAGGCAGACAAGGTCGGTCCAGCTGTGATAGATATGAGTGTGCAAGTAATTAGTGTGGAAGTTGAAAGGCCAGAGGACCAAGATGAAGAAGCACGTAAGGGAAAAATCTCTCAAAGCTCAAGTTCAAGCTCCAGCTCTAGCTCGGACGTGAGTTCAAGTGATTCTGAGAAGGAATGCGCATCGAAGATTGAGATAAGGACGTGTTTGGCATGTTACATTATCGGTTTTTGGTTCTTTGTTTGGTTTTCTTTGTTTTAACTG